ATTTTATCAATTTCATATTATAATTATAGAAGATAGAATTTTATAAGAATTGGTTTTTATTTTATCATTTATCCACCCGGGTGATCGCTGGGTTACCCGGGTCATGATTTTTCAGACGGGTCCAACCACTAATTTTATGAACCGGATTCAGGCACCACATCTAAACTATTACTTCTCTATTTCAAAGAAAAAGGAAAATTTAAAACTCTCCATTCCAAAAATCAAGTTCTAATACGTTTCTCATAACCTTTACAACAACCTTTCTACCCTCTTTTGGCTTTTCAAAATCAATATCTAAATAATATAATTCATTGATATTGAATTCTTTTAAATAATCGTAAAGTTTGTGGTAATTCATTCCAACAGCTTGTGGACCATGACAGTCATCAGAAATCGTTAATTTTCCGCCTTTTTCTATTATCAACTAATTTTACAAAAAAATGAAATTAAAATGTTACAATGTGCTGCTGTCAATCGTAATTAGATTCACTAAATAGGCTGCCGTCAAAAGAAATCAAGTAGATTGCATTTTAAAAAACTTAACTTTCACTGTTCATATCCCGATAAATTTTGAAGCTATCTTAATAATTTAATAGTAAAGAAACCTTAGATCTTTTGACCATTAAATCAATAAAATATTCACTCATCGAAATATGAACTGTAAGAGTTAAGGTATTATTATTATTATCATTATTATTTAAAAGAAAATGTCAATCTGCTCGAATTCTATTGACGGCAGCCCAAATGATTAGATTTTGCTGATTTACAAACCTTAAGAATATCTCTTTGAGGATAGGCACATTGTAATTGTGATTTTTTAAATCCAGCAGCATTAATTTCAAACAATCCTCCATATTCCACAACAAACTCTATATTTCTTTCAATTTTCTTACGCAAAAAATCTGTTAATTCGAAGTTTGGCCTGTGTATACGAATAACATCAAAATGGCCAACCACCATTGGTTTAAGGTCTTTTAATACTTGGTATTGAGCATCAAAATACGATGCAAATAAATTCTCTTCGAGTGAATTCGCATTTCCTTCAGTATGACTGTTTGAAATAGCAGATTTTGAAAGCGCAATTTCAAAAGTTTCTAGATCCGTATCAATTGGCGTTTCATTAACATGATGAACTGATCCGACCCAATAATCAAGATTATATTGAGAAACTAAATTTCGAATTTCGGTTGTCGATGAACTTGTAATATTTTCCGATTCTAAGCCAACCAATAGAGTTATTTGAGATTTATATTTTTCTTGAAGCCGACGTGCTTCTATCACGAATTCGGAAAAAGTTTTGGAAAGGTCAGATGGTTGAAGATGAGACTTTGTAATTAATGAGTTAGAATGATATCAATAATTTAAAAAATTTTTTTTTTTTTTTGTAAAAACGATTGTTTCATTATAGCATCGAATTACCTCTTCAGGATATAAATCTTGAATTCTATACCTAGGGCAGTGTTCAGACAACCCATAAACTAAAAACTTTTTCTTAATGGCCTCTTTAACAACTTCTTCAAGTTTACCTTTTGCGTGATGACAAAATTGACCGGAATGGCTATGAAGTGAGAATGGCATTTTTTGAGTTTGTTGCCAATGAAACGTACGTACGTACGTACGTACGTAGAATTTATAGAATTAAAAAAAATTTTTACCGCCATTATTTCCTTATTTTATCGCATTGCGTTGTTATCGTCATACAAATGGCCAAATCTATATATAGCAAAATCGATACGTATACAGTAGTATTCAAAATCGATTCACCTTACGTACTAACCCAATTTTTTATAAAATCTCGGAAAATGATTACAGTAGTAAAAAGAAGTCATGATTTTTGGAAAGTTTTTAAATATTACATATGAAATTTCAAATTCGGGAGACTTGAACATAAATCGTGTGCCTAGTGGTCGTCTTAAGATATGATAACCGGTTAACCACTTAATATTAATATTAAGATAACCCGATTAACTTATCCGGTTAGCTTAAAAGAGCAACGCCAAAGAAAAATGGAACTTCATATTGGCGGATTTGTGGAATTTGATAAAATAGATGAGCAGTAACTCTGGTCAATTTGCAGATCATTTGGCAGCTTTAATAATTAGAATAGAATCGTCACCCAAAAAAATTTCAAACTATATTTCGAAATAAAATTTTGGTTTGTTAGATTAGGGT